ATCAAGTTAAATCCCAACAGCCAATCAGCAAGAAATGCTCTGTGCAGGTGGAAATGCTCTGTGCCGGTGTTAATCAAGTTAAATCCCAACAGCCAATCAGCAAGAAGTATAGAGGAAAGCTGCATGCCTATTGGTTGATGCCCTGCATTCCATTGTGATGACTCATGCCCAGACGTGGTAAACACGGCAAACTAACACAGTAATACATTTGCTATAACACAGCCAAAAAACTCAAATAAACCATTCTAAAAGCCTGTATCACAAAAATTTAAAAAACGCCTAGGGGTATTTGCCCACTGTACCTCCATACCAAATTTCAGGACCTTAGGCCCTAAAATGAAGAAGCTGAATCCATTTAAAAAATGGCAGGAGAAGGAGAAGGAGAAGGAGAAGAAGAAACATCAGAAAAAGCAATATGGGTTCACCACCACTTCGTGGTGTGGTGAACCCATAAATATCTCATGTTTTAATAAAGAATGATAATATGTTCAAACGTGCACTTAGACAACATTTAATTTTTTTAATGTTTTGTTCCCAGCCTGTTGTGTTTGTGTGCGCTCATGTGGCGGTGATTTTCAGCGGCGCCTGCCGATTTTGCCAAGAAAGCTCGTCACTGTTAAACAATTTGTTACGCTACACTTTGTAGAGGAAATCCGAAGAAAATCGTACGATTTCCGTACGATTCTGTTTGTATTTAAAGCTCTTTGTGCCATGGTGGCAGCGTGAAGATTAATTTAATTTACCGTGATCGAACACCGCTGTAGGATGTAGGATACCCCCATCATGGCCCATCATTTTTCGGGCGTCTCAAAAGGCGTCCCGGTTACATAATTGTTCCAACCGCAACCGAACGCCGTCCGAAACGCCGCTAAAATCCCGTCTAAAATACCGTCTAAGCCCGTCTAAAATGCCGTCTAAGCCAGTCTAAAATGCCGTCTAGCCCGTCCGAAAAGACGTCCCGGAGCGCCGTCTCTAGCGTCTGGATCCCCATTTCCAGACGTCGTTTCGGGCGGCCCAGACGTCTGTCTGGACGCGTCAAAGGGGCCAATCTAGACGCGTCCAAGCGTTTTGGACCGTCTTGGACGTTTAAAAGGCCAGTCCAAAGCTGTCCAAAGCCGTCTGCCATCGTAATCGTCCAGGGCGTCTCAATAATCTAAGACTCTTTGGACGGGCGTCAGAAACGGCGTTTCACCGTCGGGGACACCTTCATTTTTCACAGAGGAACAAACTAAGCAAGTCATTTAATATTTAAGATTTTTAGCTACCGTATTGTATTTGTCGATGTCGATTTACCGCAATAAAATCAAGAAATCGGGTAAAATATTACACAGTCTTCCCCGTAAAAAATGAGACCTTCCATTAACCCCAAATGACCTCTCCTTCATGCAAGCAGCGACGCCATGTTGGATATTTCTCGGCTTTCTTCTACCACCAGTTTTGGCTCATTTTTACAACAAAATCCCGGCTAATATCGCCCAGAAAATATCTGGAGCCCTATCTGGTCGCTAGAGAAGCATTATTTTCTAATTTTAGTGGATTTTTCCCAAAAGAAAAGTTGTCGTAATCGACGCCAAGTTACGACATGCTGGGATGGTTCGCTGGGATTTTTAGGGGCCATTTTTGAGTCATCGGCACTTCGAAATTTTGTTTACTTTTATGATACGAACGCTAGCAACAACAACAAAAAATGCTGCCACATCATGCCCATATTCTTTATTACCCGGTACCCGTTGGATTTTCTTGGCCAACATTTGGCAACGTACTCACGGCTGGACTCAGACGGTGGGATTGGCATTTTGGCCGTCTCGGGACCGAAAACATGTGGACGCTGGACGCGTTGGACAGGTAGACGCAATGCAAGATTTCTTAACGCTTGAGTCGATGGGAAAAATTCAAGGGACCAACAAAAAGTGGTCGTAATGGACGAGTGATCTCTATACAGGGGTGGTCGTTATTACAGGTTTGACTGTATGTATTTCCCAACAACATGACACATCTACATTTGTACTAGAAATGCTCTCTTTGTTGTCTATTTTAAATAAATTCCTAATTGCAAATATGCATAACAGTTTCTAGTATATCAGTAAGAGCACATTTTAGCATAAGAGACACAGGTTACCCATCAATTTTGGTAATTTTCCGGGGGGTAAATTTATTCCGGGGGTATTTTTATTGGATTTTGAAAATTTGTCCGGGGGGGTACGTTTATTCCGGGGGGTATGTTTATTGGGCAGATCATTAACATCAATAATTGATCCTTGATACATAGGCTATAAAACAGCAACGTTTTAGCATGTATAGTCATAGCTTTGTTCTCAATCCCTTTTTCCAGCCTTAGCTTTACTTGGGCATGTTTTTTTTTTTTTTTTCGCCCTGTCGCTTCACATTTTTCATGAAAAAATCCGAGAACCAACAAATTAAATTGGTGTGGCCTCATAAGCAAATTACGTCAATGAAAATCATTTTGTTTGTATCATGTTTTATATGAGTAAAGTTATACTACTGTACATTCTATGTAAATTGACCGAGTTGAGGCAAAATACATGTACTTCACACTAGAAATGCAGACAGGGTCACATTCCTAAGTTTTACGAACATTTTATGTATATTGACACAAACAAAAAAAGAGTCTTTTTGAAGGCTGTGTACAAAAAGACAGCCTTGGGATGGGTACTTAGAGTTTAGAATGACACAATTTTTCTCTTCTACTTACATATTGTAGCTGTAAGTTTAATCATATTCACAATATTCAAGAAGCATACTGGATGTTGCATTACATTACCAGTAGTATGGCACTGTGGCATAATATTAGAATCAGAGTCAAGAGCACAGAAATCATGTTTGAAGGAAGCTTTTTCAATGGGGTTATGCATCATTATGGATTATGCAAAAATTCTCCATCACCATAACACATAATGGTAAGTTTAGAAACATCTCTAGACTAGTGCATTACATAAAAATTCAACCAAAACCAAGTATGCTTTAAATTGAATTATAGAGGTCTAATTATTAATTACATAAAAGTATTAAAGGTAAGGTGCCACATGGAAAATAATGTGGGTCTGAACCTATTTTCAGGACTCTGGATTCTTGGAAGTCCCCAAATTGAACTATTAAGTTAAAACCTGTCTCGTAACGCTTGGTCAAAATTCCTTTCTCAAGTTGGGATCATTTCGCTCTAGAAAACTGGTGACGTCAACTTTTTTTTAGTGGTAAGGCCACATAACATCCTCAGAAGACCCCCAAACTAGTGCGCGCGGGCGAATAAAATAAAAATCCGGCCAAAAATAAAAATGCTACTAAACCACAGGAATACAAAGGCAAAGCTGGTATTGTGAATTTGCGGCAGACCTGCGGCAGTACATAGTGACGTATACGGCAAGCCGGCACATGCTTGGCTTTTTGCGGATTTATGAATCGACACTGTACGTATGTACTGAGGTCTTAAGTCGTGGAGCTTTGGTAGCCTGGGTGCCATCCTCCAGAGCTACCACCGGCTCCGTACTGTCGCTATATAGCAAGCTGACATGGACTTTTTTTTTTTTTTGAGAACAAACGAAAATCAATTTTTTATTTTTTCACCCGCCCACTCGATTATTTTTCTTGAAAAATCTGTTAACCAAGAAATTAAATTGGTGTGGCCTAATAATAAAAAATTATTCAATTTCATTTCAATAAAGGTCATTTAAGCGGGATTTTGTTCGCATGAAAAATTTGCACGTGAAAAAACTTCTGCATGAAAATCGTGACGTGAAAGTATGCAAATTAGCTGATTCCCAAGGGCTTTAAAAACTTTTTGCTGTTTTAAGCTTAAAAGTTGGGGGAACATGAAATAGAACTTAAAATCATTTTGTTTCATTCTAGATTACATTGCTTTGTTTTGTCAATTTTGTTGTGATTTTAGGTAATAATTTGAAAGGTTGCGTTTTCACGCATAAAAAAGGTTGAAATTTGCATGTGGAAGTATCTAGCTTCCAGAATGGAGAAAAGCTTCAAATTGTTACATTTTACAATACAAAACCTATACTAGTAGTTTTAGATGTATTTCTGACAAATTCAAGTGATTAGGTTTCATGGAATATATGCAAATTAACATATTCCCAAGGGACCTAAAATTTCAAACACAAGTTTCCGGTAACAGACGGAAAATAATACCAGAGGACATTTTCCTGCCTAAGAATTTGATACTGCATATTTTCTAACATATTTCAGGGACTTTTAATTTTTCACACACAAATTTTTCACACGTAGAAAAACCTGTTCCCATCATAAGCTTGATTAAAAGTATGGCTTTGTCCCCCAAAAAGTACAAATTAAGGTTATGTTGCACTTGAAAGCATTATTTTCGTACACCAAAATCTTAAATCACATAGGCAAAAAAATTGCCCATGTAAACTATCTAGTGATATACTATACACAGAAGTGTCGTCACATTGGCAAATGGCCAAGTCGGCATTACCAAGGGATTTGCCATTATATTTTACCACAAATTTGAGAATTATTACAAATCCAGTTTTATCTAAACTCGTTGTTTATGCATTTTTGTACTGAAGCACTGACCATGTCCTAAAATGAGGTTAACGTATCAAATTACATATTAGGACCTCAAAATAATACACTCAGCTAACATTATCTCTTATGAAAGTGGAATAAAAGCATTTGGAAGGTAGTTTCGACACACAAGAAAACCCCAATTTGAACTAAATCTCAGTGTTTTTGACAAAGAAGGAAATATGCAAATGAGCCTCCATAGGCAGGTGGAGGGAAAGACCCCAAAGGTTCACACTTTTTCTACATAATGAAACTATTATGAAAGCTTGTCTTTTATAATAGTAGAAGTGTTTGGCATTTCCTTGTTTATTATCCACTTTGGAGAATAATACACATCTCACTTATATCAAGTTCCCCACAAAATGACCCTGAACCTAAACTTGTATTCCCCAAAGTCATAAAAGGTCACATTGTATAAAATGAGAATAATAGACGAAAAAATACAATACCAGGGTTCCACTCGGGAATTGATGCTTGGAATTCTTGTCCAACCCGCATGCCAGCTTCTGTGAATGGAAAGCGACATGATGGTCAACACTTTTTTCTTCAAAAGTAGAGACACAATGACAAGAAGATGTGGGGTGCAGAACGGGTGGTTTTACCATGCTCGTCGTCACTGCTGCTATCGTCGGATATGTGCCCGTTGCTGGCCCCCGACGGGGCATCCCCCCGTGTCCGCGGACTCAATATATCAACGTTTCTGCCGACCATGGTGGCTCCACTCGACGGTACAACACGAATGTTGGCCTTTTCTGACCGAGAAAAATGTCCGGAAATAGCCGAAGAGACAATAAAATTTTCAACTTTGTTAGAGCGTGCCACATCCGCCAGGCGACTCTCCACATCTGAATAGTCTGTAGCGGAGGGATACTGTCAAAGACCTGTTCCGCTCGCACTTACTATTTACAGAAGTTTTTAGCCATAAACTTGCAAAGGTCAGCACAGAAACTTTACGGTTATAACATTTGTGGTATTTTGTTAGCAAAATATTCGTGCTTAGTCGGTGTATTTCTGTTTTGTGGCGGAACTACTTTTTTGCGCGCATGTCGAAAATCCGTGCCGCAATGTAATGTGTACATAAAGTCCAAAATCGTCGTCGTGTGTCGAAATCACCAACATGTGAAAAAATCAAGTTTGTGATTCAAGTATCGTTTCATGCTATATCGGGGCGGTGGGAAAAGTGCAATTGGCGTTATTCCCTTGTTTCTTATGGATGCCAAAGAGCCAAAGAGCTAAATTCAGCACAACGCACAAAGCTGCGGGGTGATCCATTCATGACCACATTGGGTGGGTTGGGCGTACAAGGTTACTGGCCACCGAACGGCTTTGTTGTGCCCTTGCTGTTACCCTACTACCGCTAAAATGACGGTCACACAGTATCGTAGTCAGAATTTGTCTGTTTTAGACACGTTTTGCGGGTCGTATGCCATACTGCACCAATGTAAGCAGTAACGGTTGCTCCCCTGTTCGTAAACGCCCTTCTTCACTGTGCACATGTTTGGGTGCAACCCTGGTTTTCCCTTGAAGTCATCAGCATTTCGACTGGGGATTTCTTTGCTAAAGACTAACAACAGTTATTTTCAGATTAGTTGAGGGCGGATAATCATGATTCCTACCATTGTCTCACAATCAGCAATACCAAAGTCCGTGTATCAAAAGACCTGGTTGGGTGAGAGTTTATTGGACTGGGTATTTAAAAATATTTTGGAGCTCACAGTCTTGTATTTGTACGACCAATTTACATATCCATTAAGAAAATAACTATAGTAAAAATTTGGTCTGAGTTGTAAATTTCCAATGAGCATGACCCATGTATATTAAAGGTGAACTGGTTCGTCAAGGGAAGGGTGAGGGGCACACAAAGGGTTATTTGATACACACATGGTGTGACTGTGGGAGCCCCCGATAGGGGCCCCCACATACTGACCAATCTCCAGACAATAGACTTGTGCAAGATAATCGCCCAAGTCGGCTAAGTTGCAACTATTTTTTGGTCGATGTGGAAGAAGTGTAGACAACTGTTCATGAGGAGAACGGGGATATCTGTCACCATTTTATGGTCTAAAGCAGCCAGTAAACAATAACGTTATAAGCTCAGTCAACCTTACCCTACATTGACTGGGAAATTAAACCGGTTTGCCTCTTAGTCCTCATTTTACGATCACGTAATGGATATATTTTAGTTTGTTATCGGTTGATATGACGGTATAGTCGGAAGATTCCGAAGATCATTGGGTTCTATATCACACGAAGTTGACATATTCTCTTCATCTGGTGAATTATAGCAGACCCTATGGGGTCTTACCATCCAGTTACCAAAGCTTGCGTCTGTCTGACGAGCGTTTTAAAATCGGATGTTGTCAAAACTCAAACTCAATCCACGTATAACTCTCATGGCTATCTAAGAAAAACCAAGTCACCTTCTTAGGAATCTTTACAGTCCAAAAATATAGTCTTCATCAAAATTCTCAAGGGAGAAACCATTCTTGGGGACAGTCCTTTGTTGGTGCAAGGAGGTTGGTGTGCTTCTGTGTAAGTTATGGACCGTGGATTTTTTACGAATCCCTATCCATCGGCCATGGGTATTGCCTGTTTTTGACCCTAGAGACGAGGTGTTATATCCCTGTAGAACCGAGGGCACCGTGTAGTGAACGGCTACACCAGTAACGTAACAACAGATGCGAGATCTTTGACCCCTGTTGACATAATCATGAACATGAATAATGAGCAACTCAATAGGAATCAATAGCGGTGATGGAATTGTTCCACACATGGTACATAATGGCGAATGTATTTATGAAACTAGCAAGTTTAAATGGCATGCATGCATGTTTTCCCGGAATTAGATAATGAACGGGGCAAACCAGTACTAGCAGTTTGTTCACACGAGATTTTACCAAAGTTATACCCCACCATTTTTAAACAAGGCATGTGCAATAATTTTCAAGTAGTTACTTGACTGTAGTTAATTGTTACATCTACACCTCCTAGGTCATTTAAACCTCCTTGATCAATCTACACAAGGCAAATCGAACCACACATATAACACCCTACAAATACAACAATGGGGAAAGAGTAACGCATGGCTAAATGTCTACCTGCGAAAGCGGAGCGTTTTGCTTTCGGTGGAGATTTCACAACTGTCATCTTGCTTTCCTCTTGACTCACCAAACAACAGAAAAGTCTGCCACAAGAGACAGCTGGACCACAGGCTTATTCATATTGATGAATCACTGCCTGCATATTAATGAGCACTTGGCTTATACTACAGCAGCTATGATTGGTTGTGGCGAGGACGTTATATTGGAGTCCTTTGTTCGGCGGCGAGTTCTTTTGTAAACAGGTAACGTTATATTTAGCCGAGATATGGTTAGAATCTTTCGTGGAGCTCACGAGGTAGACTCTCTTGAAGATATATTTGGACTAGTTTGAAATCGCATTGTTATAGCGCTCAAGGGTACGACTGTACAAATGAATGCAATATGCATTACTGATGACAATCGGTAGGTGGAGTTTTCTATATACTTTATCGTGTTGGACCCAAAATTGGACATGTTTCCCTTTGTAGCTGAATTAGTTGTGATTTCTATAATTAGTATCTTTATTAAGGCTTATTTCATTAACTAGAAATGTTTTTTTCCCGATAGAAAAAGTTTGCTTTCTGGAGAAGACATGTTCCCCTTTGATGTGACAAAAACAACAATAACTGGGTCTGGGACAAAAAAGTTGCAATTCACACACGAACAATAAATCAGGTGGGAAAATATTCAAGCTAAGATCGTGTTTCGCCCCGTTAACAAGATTAATTAGAAACACACAAAAATACAAACATCGGAACAAAGAAAACATCGAGAAAACAATGGCACAAAGAATAGCCTATAAAACCGATCAATCTAGTTTTCTATATACTTTATTTTCTACTATAACAAAGTATACTATACATGTAACTGAGAATAAACTACAACATCGTGAGGTATAGACGCTACAGGACTATCGTAGAGTGGAACTCGCTGGCCGGCCAACGTTATTCGCTAGTGGAGTCTGGCTAGAGAGGGTCTATACGTCGCAAGGACCCTCTCTGGCGAATGGATACTGCCTGGCCTATTTGATACTGTCTTTTGCCACCCTAGGATCTGCTTGGAGATTAAGTACAGGCATCCGTAGACAACTTTACTGTGAAAACGCTTGTACGCTTTTGATAAACCTATTTACTTGGGTTCGGATCCCTAACAGATGTTGTACCCTTCAGAATGGCAGACTATTCCCTCGACTCGGGTGAAAATCATGTGTACCTAGCTTCGGTTAGGGACGTCCTCTCGGATGGAACGTAAAGGTTTTTGAGGAGAGCCACACTCCGAGTTAGCACGTTTAAGATCCCGCCGCATTCATTGAATATACAAAAGTGTAGTGTAAAGCTGAAACTTACTAGTACATGTATCTTCTATTTCAAAATGACTGGAAAATGAACAAAAGCATGTAAGTGAGCTGATACCCTGGTCCTCGCGTGATTAAGTTATTCTTACACGCATATCGGTGCCTACCAAGCACTGAAATACATGTACATATTTCAAATCTTATTACATAGGTTTCAGCAAAGCTTCTTGTCGAATAATAATGATTTTGTTGAATATTTTTCACAGCATTTTTTTCCTTATACATGTAACGTACATCATGGTAAGGTACATGTAATGTACATGTAACGTTACTAACTAATTTCCGAATGTTTCCCATCATGACCTATGGACCAGAGAGGCCACACTGGCGGAATTTGGATCCGTTGTTAGGGGATTTGCCGGAAAATGCGTTCATTAATTTATGAAGATTTTCCACGTACTAGTATATGTCAAGTCAAGTCAAGTCAAAGTTTATTGCACAACGATTGTCACGGGTACAATGTATGGCAAATAATAAGTTACTAGTTGGTATATATGAGTCTATCATAATGCTACACATATGGTCAACGCCAACGGTTACTGTGTCTGACAGAGTGTTATAAAGAACTACTGCCTAGAAAATATTTCAACTCTACACGTACGTACGTAGTACATTACGCTAAACTATACTTATGAAGGGCACAGTGTCAGTGAGCAGTTGTACCTATACAAAACATGTTCTATGACTACTAAACAGAGTGTCGACTAAATTACTATGTGGAAGGAATGACGTAATGTTCAGGTGATTATTATGACCTCTTCAAGATGTCAAACCTGAGACCATACTGTAAGGGTGAATCACACCGGGAAGAATCCCTGCTCTTTTCAATAATGTGAAAGTTTATTGCAAATACTTGCCCGCGGGCTAATTGCAGCAAACAACATAGGAAAGAAAATACAGTGGTATGTGAGACTATATCTACGTCTAGCATTATACTATATTCTACAACATACATGGTACTAGTTTTTCTGGGTTTGACTTCTTCTTTTTAGGCAACGGAAGACGAATTTACCCACTTCTTCTATAATATGTGGGTTCTTTGATTTCAGTAGTAAATTGTTTTTTCTTGGTAGGGAATGGTGGGGAAGTAAGGGAGCATTTTGGACACGGTGCTAAATAATTGTTTTCTAATGTCGTCATAAAATGGACAGTTAGAGATGAAATGAATTTCGTCTTCCACTGCATTTGAGGAGCAATATTTACAAATTCTCTCCGACACAGGTACATTTGTACTTTCATATATCGCCCTTTTTCGATTTCCAAGGGGTGGGCACTGATTCTAATTTTACTAATTCTTTCTATGTTGTTTGTAACTGCAATTAGCCCTCGGGCAAGTATTTGCAATAAACTTTCTTTCTAATAACTAATAGCGGAGCGCTGCTCGAAGTCACAGTGCTCTAGGTATTGTTCTAAACAGTATTCAGTTTTACATTTACTATAGAATCTCAGTATATTTCAATAAGTGTGGTGGGATCTGTAACGTGCTCAGGGTGCGGTCCTCCTTATCAAAACGGGACGTCCGGCTTTACGTCCTATCTGAGAGGACGTCCCTAACCTCTACCACAGTATAATCGACCAAATAGACAGATAACATGCCAAGAGAGTTGGTCCGCTAATAAAGAAGATAAACTGTATTCTTTGGGAACAAACTCCCCTGGTGTGTTATCCGTCTATATTTGACCAGTTTCTACTCTTTCCAGCCGCTTCCCTAGGCCTGTTAGCGGCTAAGCAGAGCCTGCCTTTGGTGGGTAATGTCATGAGTTGGGTCGACTTGTCCAGAAATCTATACTTCGTCTGGAACTGTCCCTCCTCATACCCATCGCTTAGTCTCCACCATACTTCTTTTGCGGGGTGAATAAATCGTAGAAATCGGCCTAAAAAGGGTATTAATTGGCCAGAGAAGGTAGCCGGCCAGAGAAGCTCCATTTCCCCGCCGGCTACCTTCTCTGGCCAATTAATTTCTACGATTTATTCACCCCGCAAAAGAGTCTGGTGGAGACTACCGATCGCTCCACCAGCCCACGTGCAACACGGCTGAAGGTGTCAAACGTCATGTGTACAGTCTCGTTTCGTTCATTTAATGTAGACTTTTCAAACTGAGAGTAGAAATACTGCTACAGTAGGGATTGACATCGCTGATGTCCACGTTCAAGGGACTTTGTACCTCCTTAAATCTCCCGGCAGTGCAAAACAATGACGTGCTTGGACTTGAGTTGATTTGCCAGTATCCAATACACCAAATTCCTATTACTTATCACTTTAACGTTATATCGGTCGGAATTAGGGCATCCCCCGTTAAAAGGCCTTAAAGCTTATTTTCAAAGAATGTCTAGACTTTAGAAATTCCTCAAACGATTGTAAAAGCTCATTGTCATCCCATCATGACAATTGTTGTGCAATAAAATTTATCATAGTAAAGTTGGCAGTTTTCATGATATATGCTGTGTGTACAGGCTTATATAAAAGAGGCTTCCTCAGTGAGCCTACCGACCCTAATCTCCAAGCAGATCCCTATCAGTGGCAAAACAGTATCAAATTGGCCAGGGCAGTATCCATTAGCCAGAGAAGGTCCGCAGCCACCGACGGGGTGTTGGGGTCAGGACAAAAAAAAAACGGCCATAAAAAGGTAACGATCATTCCCCCACAACCTCTGCTTGGAGAGTACCGACCCGGCAAGCTTGCCTGATTTTAAAAATACCGCGCGATCTCCTGTTACCCAGCATCCCTTACAAACTTTAAGTGACCGTAGGTAAACTCTGACCTTTGACCGTAGTTGGTCACTAGCTCGATGTGTAAAGTTACTGATCTTTTTCGGAGAATACTATGTACTGTATTTAATGCCGTGCTCCTGTAGTTAGTTGAATAACGTTACTTGGGTAACTTGGTTAAATCATGGCCGATCTGACATCGGCACTAGAGTTGCAGTTGTCGGAGATCGAGCTCCTCGGCAGTATGTTCCCGGGCCAGGGAGAGTTGGTCCTGGACCACCCCGCCACCTTGGCGGATGTCCGGCAGTACGTGGACGGACAAACGGACGCAGCGCCGGCAGCCAGGCTGGAGTTCACGGTCAACCTTAAGGTACAGGAACCGCAACAGGTAACATGAACAATTGAACGTTCATAAACGTTCTAACCATATGTGAAGGTTCGTTGCGTCCAAAGCGAGGTTTAAAATCAAAAGGCCTCTTGTATTTAATCTCCAAGCAGATCTTTGGTGGCCAAAAAAGATAGTTGGATACACGCGGACAGTATCCAGCCGGCCGACAGTATCCACTGGATGGGCCGGCTGTCAGAAAAAAACGGGGCATAGAAAAAGGTCACAATCTTCCCATTCAACCTCTGCTTGGAGAGTATCTTGTATTTAACCTTCTTGTTGGGTCCAAAGGGAGAACTTGTTTCTGTACCGCAGATTGACCTTTAGTTTAGGTCAAGTTGGAAGGGAGTGATGGTTGACAGTCAGGTAGGAAGTGATGGTTCTACCCATGCCTTATTCATAACTGCTGAATGGTTGTGAAAGTATGTCAGACCATCTGTTTGGCTGTGCTAACTAGAAATGAATTTTTGTGATGTAATAATAATTTTTGTTCATTTTCGGACAAGTTTCTAAGACTTGCACTAAGCTATTCTTTCCTGATGTTTCAGGCCCAGTTCTCTATCCAGTGCTCCTTTCCTCACGACTATCCTGAAACTCTTCCTGACATCAGCATCTGGACTGCCTCTATAACACGTCAGAGACAGACTCAACTCAACCTGGAGCTGTCCCAATACCTACAGTCCCTTCCCCGGGGAGAACTCTGTGTTAACTCCGCCCTGGAGTGGGTACAGGACAACGCTGCCAGGTTCCTCGACCAGGCCAGCCCCGCCAAACAAACCAGTCCAGTCGACACCCCGTCTCGAACGTTCGCACGGTACTGGATCTACAGCCACCACATACAGAGCAAGTTCAAAAGGAGGGACCTGAACGAATGGGCAGGTAAACTGGGGGTAACCGGGTTCTACCTTCCCGGTAAACCTGGCATCATCTGTGTGGAAGGAGGGAAGGAGCGCTGCGAGGAATACTGGAAGTGGGTTCGGGAACTGAACTGGAAGAAGATTTCCCTCCGACACCACGAGGAAACGGAGCTGGCGGACGGGCAGGCCGTCGACAGCCTTCGGAAGTTCCAGGGATTTGGGGAGAAAGTTTTTGGTGCTCATAACTTTCATGGGAGAAACTTCCACATGGACCTGGGAGAGTTCTATCAGTTCTTGAAGGAACACCACTGTGAGGCCATCTATGCCATCCTGTTTGGTATCGAGGGCAAGAGTACAGAGAGTTGATGAAATAATCCACGTGCAAAAAATATGAAAATTGTATGTAAATATAGATGTTGTCCATTGTGCAGAGATAAGAACAAATTTTACTATTATAGATAATATAAGTGATTATCATCACCATTTTGAGTGAGTGGCCCAAACTAATATAATAACAAGATATGATACTATAGCCGTTGCTGCCTTAATTACCTCTGTAATACATCTATCTTTTACATTATAACTATTGAATAAAATCTATGGGAGACAGTGAGTGAGTAAGTGAGTGAGTGTGTGGGTGGGTGGGTGGGTGAGTGAGTGAGTGAGTGAGTGTGTGGGTGGGTGGGTGAGAGTGAGTGAGTGAGTGAGTGGGTGAGTGAGTGAGTGAGTGAGTGAGAGTGAGTGAGTGAGTGAGTGAGTGAGTGAGTGAGTGAGTGAGTGAGTGAGTGAGAGTGAATAAAATCACTCACTCTGATAGCTACAACCTGTACGGGCAGTCTGTCCACAAAAGACTTCCACTTTCATATTATTTTAAAGTCAATAAAATAAGATAGAATACTGGGTAAAAGTTGAAGAAAGGCCTCATCTTAATAGTTGTTGCAGTTTTCTAGTATTGAAAAATCAAAATCTATTGTTTGAAATGTTCGACAGCCTATGTGAGTCCTGTGGTGATATTCATGTCTAGGATGCATCTTTATACATGTATCAGCATTTCTGATGTCAGCAGTGGTGACTCGAGAAGAAGTATTTCATTGAATTTTTAGTTTGCTGGCCTATTCTATGAAATTCCAGCAAAAATTTGAGAACCAGAAAAAAGATGTGGCCCAAGATGTAAATGTCACAGGTAAGCCAGTATAAGTGCCTTACCTGGGGCCACACCAATTTCATTTGTTGTTTCTCAAATTTCAGGAAGCAGGGAGGTGAAAAACACACTCAAAAGACAGTCCTAAGGCATCCTGTGATAGTCCCAAATGCTACCATAGCGCCCACGGACTTTTCCAACTGTTTGTGCCAAAGTATAAGCATTTTGGGTTGAACCAGAACCTATATAGTAAAATTGCATGTGATGTTATATATTTTGTTTGGCAAATCAGAAAAAAAGAAGCAGATGAATCCAAGGACCAAGAACATAAATGTTATACGTCGATGAAGGTTAGACATCCAGGTAATACGATACGCCAAAAAGCAGTTACTCAGCAACTGGATATGATTTTGAAAATCATATCCAGTTGCTTGAGTAACTGCTTTTTGGCATAAATGTTATACATTGTACTGCAATTACATCATGGATCAGTGCTGTCTTACATGAAAAGTATGAATATGTGATGAATAGGAATAAAAATTCCTGTGTAATCACTATTCAAATAATGATTGTTCATTAAATCATTATTCAAATAATGATTTGTCTATCATTGAAAGATTAATGTTGTCATCATTGTTACTCCCTCAAAATATAACCTTCTCAAAGGTAAGACTTGCGGGGACTTCTTATTTGTGACATATACAGGTTACGTATAATAGTTGTACAGTTTAAACTTTGTTCCAACACTAGAAAGGGATTCACCAAAAATTTTTGGTCAATCTTGTTTCAAGTTTCAAGTTTATTTATTTCACCAGAGAATACCTCAGATCCATTGATCTGCTTTTCAGGTATCCCTGGGCACACATTAAAACATACAATTTCACCTGGTCCAACCATCGCTGACCACATACATCTGAAGAAGGTTGATGAGATCTATTTTTGTGAAAATTTATGTTGAATTCATTTCTTGTGTTGGAACAAAGTTTAAACTGTACAACTTTGGATTCTACCAACACAGATGGGCTTTCATTCGGAGGTTTATGTGTAAGTTGATTTTCAGGTGATTTCCATTGGTTAAACAGATAATATTATTTGAAACTTTTTGTAGACCACAACAGCTGTCCTTAGCTGGACTGATACAGCAAGATGAACCGCTATTAGTATTACTTGGTTGATAGACATTTTAAACCTCTATGACACATGTCCGTAGCCAGGATTTTGAATGGGGGGTTTCTTCCCACTGCTTGAGTGGACCTCAAGTGCCGTAGGCGCGAGGCGAGCGCCGAATGCGCAAGGTTCCTAGGGGGGTCTGGGGGCATGCTCCCCCCGGAAATTTTGAAAAATGAACCTTCTAAAATGGCATTTCGTGCGTTTTTGAGAGGATTTCAAAGAAAAACTTAGAATAAATTTTTATTCAATGACAAAGGGAGCAGTTTTTCTACGATTCCAGTTCATCTTTTAAAGAAAAATCTTGGACCTTTACATAAAAAGTGGACCAAAAAGTGGACCTTTATATAAAAAGTGGACCTTTGAGCCTTGTGAGCCTTCCGAACCCCCCACCCCCCACCCCCTGGCTACGGGCATGCTGACATGACAAGCTATCTGCCATCTCGAAATCAAGACCACATCATTTCCATGACAAAAGATACCAAAACCTAAAAAAAAATACAAGAAGAAAGTTCTGCTGCAGTACCCCAAAAAGCCGTCAGGAGGCCCAAAAATTGACCTTGACCTTTGTCTAACCAGAACCTGTAGTCTAATACAATGTAGTATCCAGGACTGGTAGCATCACGATACATTTGGACTTTCTTAAGGCCACACCAATTTAATTTCTTGGTTAAAGGATTCGCCCGCTTCATTTTTTTTCTGATTTGCAAATAAAAATAAAAATTCAGAATCAACTGCAAAATGCTCATATTTTGCCATGAACAGTTGAAAACAGTCCTTTTCATCCTAGTTGTTACAGTTATTCCATCTTTCAATGCAATGGTATCATTAAAAGTTCAAAATTCATTGTTTAGATTTTGAACCAGCCTGGTGTGTTGACTTCATGGCTCCTATCGTACCATTTTGGGCCATAATAGGATGCCTAGGCCTGTTTTAATGTTTTTACTTTTTTTTTTTTGCCCGCCCGCTCCATTATTTTTCGAGAAAAATCTGTTAACCAAGAAATTAAATTGGTGTGGCCTAAGGTATACTGACCACAAATACCCTGTAACACAGACACACACTCAAGTGTGGATTTTTTTATTGTGAAGGGATAATTAAAGCAACAAAAATATTTCTATCAAAATCCTTTAGGAATTTTTGCACAGTGTTTGGAATCTTTCTTACAGAGTTTATTTAGTGGACCTCACATTATATACTTTTTCGTACCTACAAATGCATACAAATACTTTTTTTCACAGGGCATTTGTCCACTCAACCCCCAAACTATGTTGGTTGAAAAAAACACACCCCTTTTAGACATTTAAGCTGCATTATGTTAATGTAACGTAAGGCCACACCAATTTAATTTGTTGGTTCTCCGATTCGCCTCTTCATTTTTTTCTGATTTGCAAAACAAATTAAAAAAAAATCTGGTTCTGAATCAACTAAAAAGTGCCCATATTTTACCCCAAACATTTGAGGAAATTCCTTTTCTTACCAGTTGTTACAGTTTTGCCATCTATCAATGCATTGGTTTGATTAAAAGTTCAAAATTCATTGTGTAAATATTAACCCAGCCTTTTGTGTTGACTTCATGGCTCCTTTCATAGCATTTTGGGCTATGATAGGATGCCTAGGCCTGTTTTTTTTTTGTTTTTGCCCTGTCGCTTCATATTTTTTCTGAAAAAATCCGAGAACCAACAAACTAAATTGGTGTGGCCTTAGGATGATACAAAAAGTAAATTTTCTGGCCATTTCTTTATAAACTAAGCTGAATCAACCCCTACTCCATTACAAAAAAAAATACCTACAAAGTGCCTTAATTTCAGGAAGAGGAGATGCCAAAATTTGACGCCTTACGGGTGTGTTTGAAAACTGGAAACACAGCTGCCAGCAGTGTTTATTTTGAGGTGGTGCCACAAACTGAGAGCGCCAACCATAAATGTCAGAAAAGTGATATATTTGCACAAATATGTGGAGAAATGGAAGAAAAATACAATCACACTAATATTTCTTCAATTAAAATATCTAAAATAATTAAATTTCAGTGCAAAAAATATTACATAATGCCCCTTTAGAAAAGGACTGCAAGATACTAGTAGTAATATGCAAATTAGCCCCCCTCGTCATGACGTCACGTCCAATGCATTCAGCGCGAACCAACATGGCGGACGATTAATTTTTGGGGTGAGAGGTTAGTGGCTTTTATGTGACTTTAAACCTCGTTTTTCTCCAGTTCTGCAACCTCTTACGCATGCATGGATACCTGTGAGTTTCTGTAATCTGCGGGGAAGGGCGAGGCTGTCCCACGGTTGCTTGCGGAGACGATACGGTAGCTGAGCGCGCGAGGCGCCGATCTCTGCAAAACGCATCGTGCAAAATGGTGGGGAGGGGGGCGTTTCCCGATATTTTTATTGATTTGCGAAGGTCGAAGTGGCGGACACGTATTATATCGTCAACTATCTGTAAACCAGGTAATTCAGGAACCACGTGCAACCACGTACACAACTGGTGCATGTCTTCCAGCTTCTGCGTTCTGATATCATTTTATAGCCCCCCACCCCGTACAAAATCCACACACGGGTTGCATGAATTTTGGGAAATAAATTTCAGACGGACGAAGGCATATATTTTGTTTGAATCAGCAAAACTCGCACATGAGGCTATGAATTATTCAAAGAGATGATTTTCTTTTTTAAATTCCACCCCAAAGCAGTGAGGTAAATTGCTTTAAAAAAATAAAAAGCCAAAAAAAAAAAGTAAAAAAAAGTAAAACTAAAAATAATTTACTTTCACGCCATAAAGCAGTTACTCAAGCAACTGGATATGATTTTGGAAACGTCAGATGTTTCAGCTAGTATCCACTAGCTTTCGTCAGTGACTGGAAGACATGCACCAGTTGTGTACGTGGTTCCTAATACCTGGTTTACAGATACTAGTAGTTGACAATATATGTCCGCCAACGCGACCTTCGCAAATCAATAAGAATATCGGGAAACGCCGGGCCCCTCCCCACTATTTTACACGATGCGTTTTGCAGAGATCAGCTTCCATATCGCTGTAACAGTGGGGGGTTTATAGGCGCTACCAACTGACCCAGCCGATGGGTCTAGACCTTTTACTTTTAGTTGCTTGCAAATGATGTAATTTGAAAATCATCAGGAATATGTCTGTATTTGTATGCATGCTTTAACCACCCTTTGCTGTGACAAACCAGCTTTGCAGACACGTGTTGTGGCAGCAGCTGGTTATCACTCAACAACCTGTCATACTCATAGAGTCTACTTGAGGTCGCAGAACACAGTATATTATGGGCGACCCCCGGAGTCTATGACGCGGGTATAGAAGGTAGTGCAGACAAACCTCTTGCATCCTGGCTAAAGCGACTTATGTGAGAGGTAGCCATGAATGAACTGCGCTGTGTGGTAAGGAAAGGTATCGGCTTGTTCACAGTATGAGTTGGATTGTGAAGATTTCCCTGTTCGTGTATAAATGCGCGGCATTATGCAACCACGTTCCAGGGTGAGCCGGCTGCAGTTCCGCTGACCCCGGTAGAGGGCCAAATCAAAGTGGTCGTCATTATGTTAAAAAACGATAACTTTTTTTAGTTTTCAGTTATTTTGTAGAATATACCGTATATTTCAACATATTAGTTGGCCGTAATTATCTAGTGCACTCTATAATTTTTACTGCGTCGAAGTGAGTCACCTCGGGTTGCTTAACTATAGGAATCCCCATAGGGCAAAAACTGTGTTCTGCCACCTTGAGGGTGGGTACCAGTTCGGCTGAACCTGGTCCAACCAACTTAGAATAACATCCTTCATCTTCATCTTTGCCGGGGCTCAAATATGTTATGTGAGCCCCGGCTACACCCCCATATAGCCCCTGATGGGGCACTTTAGGGGGAGGAGGCCTTGGTCTAAGGCGGGCAGGCCTCCAGCCTGCCCCGGAAGGACTCAACGGTGGGAGCCATAACTACCGGGCCAGGCGGTAGTTATGTTCGACATCCTGAGTCGAACTGAGTCGAAAAACCTGGAAGTCGTGTTCCAATTCTATTTTGGTGAGGGAAATGTTCATGGTGTTAAAAGTTAACAGAGTTCATAGAACACATGAAATAATCCTGGTGTTTGTGGTGTGGGATAACATGTTAGTTAACGTTACCCTCTTTCACCACCGACATGCCAAATTTCAGACACAGTAAAAATTTTATGGCTCTTGGTGGCAAATCTTTAGTCTTTGGTAGTATTAACTTAAAGAGGCTCAGTGGGCATCACTTGACCGTCGGGGAAGGAAAGGTAAAGTGCCTTTCCCAAGGGCACAACGTCAGGACATGTTGAGCATTGAACCCGGGACCTTATGGTTCTGAGTCCAACGCTCTAACCGTTGTGCCACCGACGCCACATTCCAGACAAATCCATTTAAAGAATCTTATTTATAGGTACAAATAAGTAGACCCAGACAAAAGTATGGTAGTCTCTTCTTAGCAATGAAGACTATTGTACCATTTCCTTATAAATTATGTACATCAAGACAGGGCTCTAGCCAACTTGAATTTTTTTTCCATCAGCCCAGGTTATTCATCGCATTCGGGGAGGGGAGCGGCGTGGGCATGATCTAGGGAGGTTTGGGGGTATCCTCCCCAGGAAATTTCGGGTTTTCAAGCCTTGAAATTAATCAAAAATGCAATTTCCCGCATTTTCAGACGCAAATCATGGTGTTCAGAGTGGTCGTTGGTGGTCCTTTGGATGTTTTAGTATTCTTGCCCAAGATTTTTGTTGATTTTGTCTGTCAAGGTAGACAGATTGGTTTAAAAAAATTCCGTCACACACCACAAAGTTCTGGTAATTCACCGAAAAACTGGTGCTGGCAAGAGCCCTGCATGAGGACCTTAAGTTTTTTATTTGTAGATGTCCATTTCGTTCTTTTTTGTCGTTTTTTTTTTTTAACAGTGTCGCTCAATGCAAGGCCAATTATTTTTGGCCACTTCTAGGCATGGAGCTAAAGGCACTTAAGTGAGTATAATGTAGTTATGTCAGGAGATGGCGGTGGACCTTTGTTTTGATGCTTTGTGGATTGTAGTCGGACGGAAAGCATCTGTTTGAAAGAGAGTTCTGTAATTTTGCAGTCCGGGGAAAGAAGCTGTTGTTGTAAAATGACTTGGAGACAGGTATGTTAACGGTGTATTGATGAGAACTGGAAGAGAACCTAGTGGCACGCTGAAAGGTTCCGAGCGGCGGAACAAGAAGTGCAAGTTCTCCTGAACAAGTTCTGTTAAATATTTTTCAGATAAACGCCTGCCCGTCTGCCTAAGGAAGGGAGTGAGTAAATTATTGTGAGCAGGAGACAGACAAGTTGACGGTCAGGATGTGGCACGAGGCCAGACGGCAGGAGAAGAAGCTGCGAGGGATGATGGTGGATTACAGGAAGCGCGCCGAGCGCAGGAGGGAGTACTACGAAAAGATCGTAAGTTTTTCAACAGTCTTGTGGTATCCGTAAATAATTTCATTCAGGTTGGTAAACGACTGAATAGCAAAGTTCTTTTTATCACAACCATTTATTTTTCACCAGCCGACGTTTCGATGACCGTCTGTCATCTTCATCAGGGCAATTCTGACTGGTTTACTGTGCACTGACACTAGATGTTACTTGGTGCATAGTGCACTAAAGGAAGGGAGTATGCACGAAAGGAAGTGCACTATGAACTATGTAACACCTTTAGTGCACTATGCATCAAGTAACATCTAGTGTCAGTGCACAGTAAACCAGTCAGAATTGCCCTGATGAAGATGACAGAAGGTCATCGAAACGTCGGCTTGAAAAATAAATGGTTGTGATATAAAGAACTTTGCTATTCAGTCTTGTGGTATGTTACAATTGCAAATCAGCAAGGCTTGACAGGGCTCGAAATTCATTTTTGGGAATAGGTGCACTGGTTCACCTAACCTAAAAAATTAGGTGCACAAAAAAATTGTTGGGTGCACCATATGAAACAAAACCTAATTAGAGATCTTTAATACTGTTTCTCTGCTAGCTTGAATCTAAAATGGGAGCTAACTTCAAAATCTTAAGCAAGTACTACAAGAAAGATTTTATTATTTTTCTGACACTAAGATGCCAAAAATATCCTGTATACTATTATACATTTGATATGTAAAGAAATACCTACAAAAATATTTGGGTGCACCAGTGCACCCACAGAAAAAATATGGGTGCACAGCTCCAATTTCGGGTGCATTAAGGTGCACATGCACCCAGTATTTCAGACAGGGATCGAGGTACACTTTTGAGCATAATAAAGGTAAATTGCTGCTGAAGGATGTGTAGTTCAGGAGAATGTTGATAGGTGGCACTTAAGATCGTTCAGGGCTTGAAATACATCATCATCATCTTCAGGTCGGGAATTCCCAGAAATACATACTAGATGCATATGCAATTTTGTTCTCCCATTCTCTGTATTGTGAATTATGATTGTGACATCACTCATCTTTTGTCTCATAGCATTACTGTTAACCCTTGTCCTGCTGACAATGTATTTTCAAATAATTTGAGGTCTTAATCAGATCACAGACCCTTGACTTTTTTTGCCCCGCGGTGGCGTAGTTACTTTCACTGCAGTGTGAAGCGTTGCACGAGAAATACCCCCAAATTATACATATACAGGGCAGGACTTAACATTAAAAAATCTTGCTTAAAAAAAAAAGCACGTCTAACCCCCGGTTCGGGGAAAAATGAATTTAAATGGGTTTTAAAACAAAATTACTGTTAATGGGATATCTGACATTTTCAACCGTCGTTGTGACCACCATGCGACTCAGATTCCTTGTTGTTTTTTCTGCTGTAGAAAATGGACCCTACCCAGTTCCTGCGTGTGTATGGCCAGCACCACAAGATCAACTTGGATCCGGCTGTTTCTTTTGCTGCAGAAGGACCAGGAACCATGTAAGTTATGCCACATAAGGCCACACCAATTTGATTTGTTGGTTCTCGGATTTTTTCAGAAAAAAATTGAAGCGACAGGAAAAAAAAGACAGAGCCAAGCATTCTATGATAGGACTCATAGGAGCCTTGAAGTCTACATACCAGGCTGGTTTGTAATTCAAACAACGAATTTCAAACTTGTAATCAAACCACTGCATTGATAGATGGAAAAACTGTAACAACTCTGAAGAGAAGGGACTTTCTTCAACGGTTGGGGCCAAAATATTCATGAGCATTTTAGAAACGATTCAGAGCCTGAAATGTTTTTTGTTTTTTTGGCAAATCAGAAAAAAAGAAGTAGGCAAATCTGAGAACCAACAAATTAATGGCCTAATAAATAGATAAAATGAGCTTAAGTGGTTATTCTATACTTAGGCCACACCAATTTAATTTCTTGGTTAACGGATTTTTCTAGAAAAATAATGGAACGGGCGGGTGAAAAAATAAAAAAATAAAAACAGGCCTAGGCATCCTATTATGGCCCAAAATGGTACGATAGGAGCCATGAAGTCAACACACCAGGCTGGTTTAAATTCAAACAATGAATTTTGAACTTTTAATGATACCATTGCTTTGAAAGATGGAATAACTGTAACAACTAGGATGAAAAGGTCTGTTTTCAACTGTTAAGGGCAAAATATGAGCATTTTGCATTTGATTCTGGATTTTTATTTTTATTTGAAAATCTGAAAAAAATGAAGCGGCGAATCCGTTAACCAAGAAATTAAATTGGTGTGGCCTTAGATCAACTAAATCTGGGGGGCAACCTAACATTGTGATGAGCAACCTAGTTTTTGCCCTTGGTTGCACACTGGGCAACCTGGCTCAAAAAGTATTTTGAACACTGGGACATCTAGCCATGGTCCACTGGTTGTTGAACTCGTAAAAAAAAAGAGCCAGGGCAATTTCACGGTACAATGATCCTGTAAAGTAACTTTCTTCAGTGAGCTAAAACTGGATTGACATTTTATCTCCAACAGAGGTGCAGGTAAAACTTGTCTGATGCAGGAAAAAAGTGTACCTCGATCCCTGTCTGATATGTGATGTCCTGTTTTTCCCAGGATGCCCTGGCAGGGTGATACTGAGAACATGGTAGATAGGTTTGACGTCAGGGCTCACCTGGACTTCATACCTGAGTATAAAGGAGAAGACTCGGACTGGTAAGTCTTATGTCTTACCCTAAACTCACTCACTCACTCACTCACTCACTCACTCACTCACTCACTCACTCACTCACTCTCACTAAACTAGGCGGTTTATTTTCGGGTACAGAAGTATTCTTTTGGATATCTGAGTTGTAAGTTTGTGTCAATGTTTATACAACTAACATCAGTTACCTGGTGGGTGGGAGGAGATTTTGACAATTAATCTAGATTGATAGGGAGGTCACACGCCAGGAATGTATGAAGCATAAACCATGGTATGATAGGGGAGTAAGGTCATACAATTGTATGAGTAGTAATGCATTCTATTATAAACCTATATCAACTTCCCACAAGTGTGAAATCTCTGATTTGGTGTTTAATCTGTCCTGAAGGAAAACCTCGGAGGCATACAAGGAGGAACAGAAAGCTAACTATGAGAGATACAGAACTATGGTGCTCAAGGAAGTACAGGGATGTAAGTAATATCTTTCTGCCTACAAAGTGTATGCTTCTTGCAATCTACAGATTACATTAAGAACAATAGTGAAGTAAATGATATCATTTTGCCTTTAGGCCACACCAATTTACGTTTTTGGTTAACGGATTTGCCCGCTTCATTTTTTTCTGATTTGCAAATAAAAATTCAGATTCAAAGGCAAAATGCTCATATTTTGCCATGAACAGTTGAAAACAGTCCTTTTCATCCTAGTTTATACAGTTATTCCATCTTTCAATGCAATGGTATCATTCAAAGTTCAAAATTCATTGTTTAAATTTTGAACCAGTCTGGTGTGTTGACTTCATGGCTCCTATCGTATCATTTTGGGCCATAATAGGATGCCTAGGCCTGTTTTTATTTTTATTTTTTTTCGCCCCCCCACTCCATTATTTTTCTTCAAAAATCCGTTAACCAAGAAATCAAATTGGTGTGGCCTTATTATCATATTAATACCTATATCCCAGGAGGGGAAGTGTCCAGGAGCATGTAAATGTAGATTAAGAATATGAAAAGCAAAACAGAATTTTCTGAAATATCTTGAAATCTAGAATTTTAAGTAGACTGTTTGAGAACAATGAAACAAGAATCCGATTTCATTCAATGTAAAATGTTATTGACTCTTTTCACATAGATTTCACGCATCCAGTAATGAGTTCATTTTGATGGCTGTTTCATTGTTTTGTAAACGTGTTAGTTAAGGCACTGGATCAATCGAAGAATAGGCAGACAAATTATCTGTTAGTTGTTCTTGTATTGCATTTGTATTTGTGGCGCCTTTGTAAATTTACCAAGAAATGAACACCTCAGAAAAATACCACCCTGACAGCGAAACCTGCAGTTTGATAGCTGTTCACTAGAGGTCCCCACTAACCTGTTTCCCTGTGCCACACTGGTACACAGTTACAGAAGAGCAAGTCCTCCAGCAAATCTACATCGAGGAAACCTATGGAGAGATCCCCAAGTTTGGATCAACAGAAGAAGAGAAAAACAAGTAGGTGATGTCTTCTTTCATAAATGAAAGTTTATTTGTGAAAGCTTGTTTAAGGCAATGTGATATAGATATAGTGTATATGAAGTCTTTGAAGATTTCAAGAATTAACAATCAAAAGAATCATTAGATGTTAGATGTTCGAGGGTTAGGTTGACATTCGGTGTAATGTATCCAGCTGCCGCCGCGCTGCGTGCCTGCCAAGCTGGTGTGTTACGCCAAAGGGTGGTTATACTGGCTATACAGATACAGAATGTAAGCAACAATTTTAAGTTCTCAAACCGTCTTGTTTTGTTTAATTGTAGTAATTGTAATTGATTATGCAAATGAGGTTTGATTAACATAAATGTGCCCCTTGCCTAACTCCATGTCACGACAGTGATAGTGACTAGTACCATCTCACACACTCTTACTCACTGCCTGGCTTATCATTGGCTGTTCCCAGTTTTACAGGGCTTAGACATACTTACAAGTTACATGCAGGTGTCCAGGCTTGATGGCAACCTGCTAGGTGCCTCTGTCATATTTGTTTGTTTTCTTAGGATCCATAAGTGTAAATTTTACAATATTCTTCTTGGAGTCCGTAGTGAATCATCGACTTTCAGATACTGTAGTTCACTTTATGTTCACGGTAGCAAAAGTTCACGGTCTGAGAGAAATGGACATGTCCATGGAACTATATATTCATGGTGGCGACATGTGCAGGAAAGAGAAAGTCCAGAATTATTTGTTAACTGTAATGATTAGTTCATGGTACAGAAGTGACAGTGAAAAAACAGTGAACATAACAGTACAGTGAAAAAATCAGGAATTACAGTAGTAGAATTTGGACCATTTCACACCGGGGCATGCCCCTACTCTTTTTCGAAAGGTGTGGTGGGTTCTTTAATGTGCCTGGTGTGTGGCTCTCCCCAAACATGGGACCTCCGTGTAACATCCTATCTGAGGGACGTCCCTAACCAGAGCTAGGTATTCTTTTTTACATAAGTGAGGCGAGGAAAGTTGCGTTGCCTTTCCCAAGGATACAATGTCAGGGCATGTTGGTGGATTCGAATCAAGAGTCTCTGGATTCCAAGCCCAATACCAACCATTACACCACACGATCCCACCTCTTCAATTTCATTATGTAATGTTCATATTGACTGTGGAAGTGGACTGTGGAATACACCAAAGCTGTTAATCCTATGGCACAGTGTTAGCGTTGGCCTTAGGTTTCTATTTTATTGTACCACAATCACTGAAATTAGTTCTTGGTCTGATGCAATGTTTTGGGATTGGTAAAGATTCTGTAGTCTCAGGAAAGACAGTTTTAGGTTCATGGTATTCAGCCCTCAGTGCATATTCCCCACTATATTATCTCACTGTTATCATAACCTTGGTACGTCTTGCATCATTCATACTAGTCCAATTATGAAAGTATGAGTAATACAAATACCATTTTGGTTGCCCAACGATTATTGCTCTTATGTTTTCTTTTTATAATGTTCTTTTCAAAAGTTAGGACCACGTCGTTACTTGACAAAGGTGTGCATTCTTTGATCCTGACTGTATTTTATAATTCCTGTGAGTCTGATTTAAAGGAAAGAAGGGATAATAATGTGACTGGAAGCTGCCCGTAGCTCTTTAATTGTGACCTTGGTGCCTATTAGGACTAGTATTGCCACTGCTAGTTCATTCTCGGTGACTTGAGTTTAAGGAAAAAAGTAACTTACCTGTTTTGTAAAACTTTCCTATCATAATGTTGACAATGTTGCGCTGAGAACATTTTGCACACTGTCTATCATCGCTTTTTTGAAAGGATATATGATGAAAAAAGGAAAAAACAAGATAGTTTGGTGTGAGACTCGAGTTGTTTGGTGACTGAGTTACATGTATGCCTGCATGATATAACTTGCCTGTAAACCTGACCATGATGTGTTACGCCAAGATGTTAACTGTGAAATACTCACTTGTTTAGTTGTCTATTTCAGTATTTGATAACTGCAATATTTGTTTCTCTGTTTTTAAACACTAGCATACAATTCAGCGCTACTTTCTTAGTTGCGCTGCGACATGCTAGAGATTGTACTCATCGATCAATCAATAAACAATTATTATTAGATCCATATGTAAATTCTATTACTTTCTTAACAGGAGGGGATGGGAGGTTTTTGTGGTGTTTTAAATATGTGCTTACTTGTTTTGGTTTGAAACATTCTTTTATTAAATTATTCATGAGAGGCATATGATGACCAATTCACATTCAGAGAATCATTTACATTTGTCCTAGCAACGATGCTGCATCTTTAGCCATTTGAAATGTGTATTCTTGGACATCAGAAGTGCAGTGCACCTAGTCTAGATTTTCTTCTCAAAACTTTTGCCAACTTTTGTCAGTGTGACAGCCTCGGTGATCAGTTCATAAGTTATGGTCAGTTAATTGTGATCTACGACACCAAAGAACCGAGCTAAAGTTTGTCTCAATCAAACACCAGGGTACGACTGAACCCCTGTAAAAAAGAGGTTCCTTTTGAGTCTTAAGGGTGAAGACATTTTGGTGGCAATTTCCACCATAATCCGCACCCTCGCCGCAGTGTCACCTGAAAAATTTGGCGTCTTGCAAAGGTTTTAATAAGTTTGACCCCGGTGTGAGGAGCGAGCTATTAAAGTTAATGGACACGCTGATGAGTTTGCTGTGACTCTGACCTACAGGCGCTGGCTTGATCATGATACATGTCACCAGAAGAGCAGCATCTTTATCCAAGGGTTGTTTGTTTTGATTCCACAAAACCAAGGCCGTGACTTCGACTGGTTTGCAGCCCCCCTTTTAATGTCACCGGATGAAAAGAGAGCCATAATTCTGACACTAAAAGTTACAAGAGAACAGGTCAGGCATGGAGAGGCAGGAGAAAGATGTATCCCAGTGCTAGCAGTCTGTGAGACATCCAATAACTTCTCCACTTTTCCTTGCAACTTTGGGGTCAGATGGTTAGTGGACTATACAGTACAAGCAAGCACCACAGAGCTTTGAGAAGTGAAACTGGTTCAACTAGAACTTTCTGGGTAATTTTAATTTGACTTAAGTAAAATTGCGAATCCACGTTGTCAGTATTTATTCAGCTTAAGGTTTGGTTTATTGCTAAACTGCAGAACATGCATGTGAAGGAACAAGAAATCGGAAATTTCAAACCTCTATATATAGGAAGTATTTAGATTTTCTATGAATTCATTGCCACAGCCAGACAGAGAGAGAGATGGTCTGACTTTAAGACTTTCAGATTGGCTAGGGGTTTTATGAATTTCTTATTTTATATAATTAGGCCACATGAATTTAATTTCTTGGTTAACGGATTTTTCTAGAATAATACTGGAGCGGGCGGGCGAAAAAAAAATAAAAATAAAAACAGGCCTAGGCATCCTATTATGGCCCAAAATGGTACAATAGGAGCCATGAAGTCAACACACCAGACTGGTTCAAAATTTAAACAATGAATTTTGAACTTTTAATGATACCACTGTAATGAAAGATGGAATAACTGTAACAACTAGGAAGAAAAGGACTGTTTTCAACTGTTCAGGGCAAAATATGAGCATTTTGCAGTTGATTCCAGGGGTTAAAATACCCGGTCTCGCAGTCTCGCCGCGCAAGTAATTTTTTCTGTGCGAGACTTATTCGGAAAGCCAGGTTGCCCGGAGCGCAAGTTGTTTTTACAGCGGCTGGGTTTACGGCCAGCAGCTTCTGAAATAAATAGTGCCGCGGTCCCGCCTGATTGACATGTGGACCGGTTCGGACCGTAAAAATTTATCGGTCCGGTCCGAAAAAAACGAAACGTCGGTGGACCGGTTTTTTGGACCGGAACAAAAATCCATACTAACTGATGATCACTAGATACAAGGAAGCCAGCCAGGAAAATGAAAATCCAGCATTAAAATAAAAGAAATTTACCTTAGTTTCCGTACCTCTCATTTTGCAACAATATTCTCCATATTTTCGTTACCGATAGTCATCTAGAAATCATAAAGGGAACTTTACAGGCCGCGTTTGGTTCGAGCCGAAAATCAGGGATTTTAGTACCACATGGTCACACTGTGCCGCTACTGCCACACATAAATTTTCACTCAAAATGAGAAATTAGCACCCAACAAAACGGACCATTAGTTTCCCAAGGCTGTATTACTCTTTTGTTCTTGTGGTCAACTTGTTTTCTTTGCTTGAATCGCGTAAAATACCAAGGAAAATACAAGGAAACTTCGGCAATCGGCTCGAATTTTGAGACGAGCGGCGGCCATCTTGGAATTTGTTGTTTATGCATGCCTGCAATTTGGCCCAAACCGCTAGAGGGCGATGTGATTGGTTGGGAAGTTTAATGTATTAATATATTCGGTTCTGAGGTTTTAGCCATAGAGGACAGTAGAGGAGAAGTTTGATAATGATTAGAACGGATAAAATGGGATAAAATGAAATTAAAAGAGGATAAATAAAATAAAAATAAATCTAAAAAAATAAAAATAAATCTGAAAAATTTAAAAAATAATAAAAAATTTGTATTGGTTGCTATACATTTAATATTTAGCAATGATCATTTAGCAAAAATTATTTGGTACTGATAGTCTGGTATCCAGAATCAGGTACAGGTACAGGTACAGGTCCGGACCTGGACTCTGGACCTGGACCTGAAAGAGCGGAACAGGTACCCACCCATATGAAGGTAGCATTTTTTAATAAACAATTGATGATGTTTGACAGCTGTTGTGTTTGCTACTTGATAAACAAACCTATTAATTGATAAAAAGAAAGGATAATGGATATGGGGTAGCAGATTTGAAGAATCCAGATCCTTTGAAATGGGGCAACCTGAAATCCTGATGGGGCAACCTGGCTTTTGACCCAGGTTGCCGCCCGGGCAACCTGGAAAAAAAAAGTATTTTAACCCCTGGATTCTGAATTTTTATTTATATTTATTTTCAAATCAGAAAAAAACGAAGCGGGCGAATCTGTTAACCAAGAAATTAAATTGGTGTGGCCTTATGAATTAGAAAATTCCTTTGTCTACACCTATGGTTTTCACTGGCACCCAGACAAGGACTTACTTACTTACTTAATATCCTCTTCATCCCTTGTGAGACATATAAGGCAGAGACTTTTCCCTTCCATCTGGGTGTGTCCTTGACCACCTTCTTCACTGATCGCTAAGACAGTCCCATAGATGCCAGGTCATCTGACACAGTTCTTCTCCAGGTGGTTTTAGGTCTGCCTATAGGACTCCTTGGTAGTAATGAAAAGTTTGACTAGAGAAGTAACATTTGCAGAGCAAATGCATAATGTTTACCTTCGGACATGGTCTGCCCTGTTAATTTTTACTCGACAAACACATTCACATACATGTACTACTAGTATATGGTGACAGGAGTAGAGCAGACCATGAAATTGCAACATTATGTAACCCAACACCAGTCACCATGGTTACAGACATCAACAAATCATGTCATTGGTCAGGTCAGAGGTTAGTGTTTGGAACAGAGGAGTAGGAGGAAGAAACTGAGTAAAAACGATATGTTTTCCTTCGGTAAACATAAAAATCTAACTGTGTTGTTCATCCTTGACTTTGATAGGCTGGCCAAAGCGAAGGTTTCCATTGGCTACACGTATGAAGACAGCGCGCCCGGCGGGGAGGGACAGCCTCCTCCTGAGCAGGAGGAAGAGGAGGAGGAGGAGGAGGAAGAGGAGGAGGAGGAGGATAGTGATGGCAGCATCAGTGATACTGACTTAGGTTAGGAAACAGATTTACATCTGTTTTGTTTAACTATGGGGACTTACCAAGGCCACAGCAAGTAATTTTTATGTATGACATCAGTGCTCGCATTAATTTTTGCCTGATTTGGGGAAAAAAACAAGAATTTTGTTGCCTTCTAACAGTGGTCACCATGCCGAAAATGGGCAAAGATGTATGTTGCCATGCCGGAAGGTGGATGGCAGATAACTATGAAGAGAGGAGACAAGAAAAGGCTCTGATTTAATGTTTTGTGTCTTACTTTGATGCAGTGATATGTGATGTTGGCTGTGTATGTACCCACTGAATCAAAACCATTTGTACAATGATTGAGTCATAATTTTAAAATGTAGGAACCTTGTTTTTTTTTCGCCCGCTCGCATTAGATTTGGAGTCTGCGGAGGATGTCATGCTGTGGCCCAATGCCTTACTTTCAGTGGTCGAAATACTTTTTTTCAGTGGTCTGCAATATTGCAGAAGAGTCAAAATTTTGTTCTGCAATGTGGAAAGACTTTCTGCAAATACACAAACCTCTATACTACAACATTCTCCAATAATACCTTTTTTCACATATATAGCTTTGTAAATCTGTAGCATCAATGGAATTCTTTAAAGCTTAAGACGTTTCAGGTAGCATCCACTACCTTTCGTCAGTGACACTAAGAGACTAGCTACTGCAGCAGGTTTATAAGTAGCACAAACTATTGTATTGATTGATATGCAAATTAGTGAAGACAACTTTTTGGAAGTCCAAAAGAAAACAAAAGATAGACAAGTCAAGACAAGGTTGATGCAAATTAGTGAAGAAGCAAGCAAAATCCAAAGTGCCAATTTTTCCTTCTGCAAAATTGCAGATTGTATAAATTTTTTCTTCTGCGATCTTGAAAATCTATCTGCAGATTGCAGAGTGCAGACAGGTATTTTGAACACTGCTTACTTTGTTTCTAATTAATCAATACATGACATGTTCTCAGATTCACTTATCAGTTACGTAACGTTATATCACAAAGTGTGACCTACATGTAGCAACACATATATATATATATATTTACGTCTTTTGTGTGGTAATTGAATTTATGATATAGTGCAACTATTTATGAATATGTTTTTTGTAAGTTTTTTTTATGTTGATAATGGATGAAAAGGAAGCACTTCTGACCATTTTGTCAGAAAAACTCAATTCATGTTCAGCATGTCTGTGAGTTGTTTAAATAAAGATTGAATTGAATGAATGAGTAAACAGACCTTAAAAAAACTTGACCAAAAATGCAGAATGTTTTCTACTGATGTTAGCTTCAAAATCTATGGTAATAATTTCAAGTTATAATTTCAATATTGAATTTGTAAGTATTAACTTTGAATAATGTGAAATGATAATGAAATGAGGTTTGTCGCATGGCTTAGAAGTTGAGGGTTCGTCTGTCTTGTCTGTCACGACCAGTGGAAGATCAGTGGTGTAAAACTAGATTGAGATCAATTCTTTCTTTCCGTATCATACCAATAACTGATGAAACCGAACTGACAGAGTCTGAAGCAGGGCTCGAAATTCATTTTTGGGAATTGGTGCACTGGTGCACCCAACCTAAAAAATTGGGTGCACAAAAATTTTTCTGGGTGCACCATATAGGATAGAATAAGTAGAATGTCAGCAAAAGCTGAAGAAAGTGCTATAACAATGTCAATGATTGTATTATTTTCCTGACACTTAAACAATTAACAATATGCTGTATACATTTAACATCTTTAACGTTACATATGCAAACCTACGAAAATAAGACATATGTGCTCGGACACAAATGTTTTGTGGAGCACATATGTGTATCATGTGTATTATTTGATTGTTATGATTTGTATTGATACTAGTAATTAAGTGCATCAATTCAGCCGTATAAAGGCTGCGACTGCACGGGTCCTGTTTGGACAATAAAAACCGTTTATTATTATTATTATTCTGCAGATGTGATAGTGGACCCGAATGAGCTGACCAAAGAGCAGCTGCAAGCCTACAACAAGACCGGCACTCAGTACGGCATCCCGTTTGGGGACTTCGTCAAGTAGGTTCTCTTTGTAGTCCGGTCTTTGTGTAACGCCCGAAGTTCCACGCATCATGGCATCCAGTCCCGTCGGCAAACGTTGATCGAGGGGATGCCATGACCGCTGCCGGCAGAGAAAAGAAGGAGGGTACACCGTCGTTTAGATGCTTCTAGTTGTTAGTCAGCAAGTATAGTACAGCATAGTGGTTTGTTACTGAAATTCTTTCAGTGGTTGCTTGTGTTACACAATCTGTCCCTGAGAGCTTGTGGCCATACACCTCTAACTTAACCAATCCATTTCCATCCACAACTACCAATAAGAGCTCATATTCTGTATCACTATGAAAATCAGTCCAATAGGAGCTCAGGATTCTCTGTCAATATGAAAACCAGCCTCCAACACCATGGTAACAGACAGTTCTCAGTCGAACAAAAGTTGGTCAGCATGTCGACAGAACGTACTGCACCTTTGCGAAACCCGTATACTGTGTTGGGCAGAACACCTCATATAAGGTCGTATTCGTGCATATAAGGTTGACATCCCATCTGTAGTTTCCAAATGTTATATCAGACAAAATTTTGTTTTAGTATGAACCTGTTGGAAAGATACAAAAGGAGAACTTGTAATTTGTGGGGATGGTATCATAATGGTACCATAATTGAAGAAATGTGTTCTTAATTTTATAAGTTATAGATTTAGTAACTTTTCTTCATACAAAGAAGGATACAAAACAGTACAGGTAAACAAATCTAACACGACAAGGCCAAATGCATGAAACGTGAAGTAAAAAGATATCTCTTTTTAAAAATTGAATTGTAAATTGATAAATCGCACAGTTGCATCTTTATATATGATTATGAGATGTGTCTGAATTTTTCTGTTATTGAGTTGTAAGTTGGATGTGAAAAGTCACAGGTTTTCTTGGCTTCTTTCCCAGGAATCTGAGGAAAGACAAGGAAGAACAGGACCGTATTCAGCACCAGAAGGAACTGGAGGAGGAGAAGGCTCTCTACTCTGTATGTACATGTTACTTATTTCTTCTTTTCCTTAGGCCACACCAATGTAATTCCTTGGTTAACGCATTCGCTCGCTTCATTTTTTTCTGATCTGCAAATAAAAATAAAAATTCAGAATCAACTGCAAAAGGCTCATATTTTGCTCCGAACAGTTGAAAACAGTCCTTTTCATCCTAGTTGTTACAGTTATTCCATCTTTCAATGCAATGGTATCATTAAAAGTTCAAAATTCATTGTTTAAATTTTTAACCAGCCTGGTGTGTTGACTTCATGGCTCCTATCGTACCATTTTGGGCCATAATAGGATGCCTAGGCCTATTTTTATTTTTATTTTTTTCGCCCGCCCGCTTCATTATTTTTCCAGAAAAATACGTTAACCAAGAAATTAAATTGGTGTGGCCTTACATTTCATTACATTACGCTTGTTTTTTTTCCCAAAGAGCCTGCAGTGCATTGATTGTGTGAGATGATTAGGCCACACCAATTAGATTTTTTGTATTCTCAGATTTTTGCAGCAAATCAGTCAAACGGGCAGCAAAAAAAAAAAAACACAGGCCAATGCATCCTGTGATGCCCCCAAATGATAGGAGTCAAAATACCCAAACTGGTTTATACTTCCATTTTGAACTTTTAACCAAGTCACTGCACTGTAACAAGAAAAAAAAATTAAATGTAACAACTAGGAAGACAAAGATTTTTTTCAACTACTGTTGGTGCCAAAATATGAACATTTTTGTAGTACATGTTTTTTTGTGTAAATCAGAAAAAAAATTAAGTGGACAAATCCAAGAACCAAGACGTTGAATTGGTGTGGCCAAAGAGCCTTTTTCATGAACTACAGCCAACTGCCACATTGTCTGAAATTTTGCCTGACTTAGAAACTGATTTGAAGAGGAAAAGATAGATTAATTTCATAACTTATTAATGTTATATTTCTGCTATTGTTCAAATGTTTATTGTTAAACTGTAATAGTATTTTGATGTTGTTAAATGTATATGGACTACATTTAACAAGCTAAGGAAGATGTTGTATATCATGGTGGTCAAGGTGGCAACACATACATGTACATGTACATGTAACCTAGTCCTTATTGTACATCAGATTGTCCAGACTGTGCATGATGTACAAAATGACTAATAAACTGGTGGACATACCAAACATTAAGTACCTGAAACCAGCCCAGAAAAGAACAAGAAACAGTCATGCCTTCAAATATCGGAGTTATCAACCAAGAATTGAGGTGTTCAAAAACCCGTATTTCCCAAGAACTATCGTAGACTGGAACTCGTTGCCACCAAGCACAGTTGGGGCATCATTACTAAAAAGCTTTGAACCATACCTGCAATTAAATGTGCAAAGATTGAGTGTAACAAGTCGTTCGGTGTGATATAGCTAGCTGCTGCCGCGCCGCGTGCCTGCGAAGCGGGTGTGATTCTTTACATCCTTGCCATGGTTTTATTTTTGCAATTTTTGCGTTGACTTCCCCACTGCAAAATCAGGAGACTGCGAATATTTATTCCAACATATATTTGTACTGTATTATGGACTTGTTTCAACTGCAAACTTAAGAGCACCAGGGAAATAAATGAGTTTACTGCTACATGTAGTTGTTAAATACCAACACATTTTGCTACAAACATGCTATATTCCACCCAATAATATGCAATATTGGGACAACATACATTGTACATTGTGTCTCTTTTCATCTCTTGACACAGTCTCATACATTGTACTTGGTCAAACTTGTTGAGGTACAGGACCAGGTTCAAACCTGAACCCACTGTGCCTGGAACTGAATTTAACTACATAATATACATAGTCCTAGTGTTAATGCCATTATGAGGCCACGCCGCCTTAATTTTATGGATGACATCCTCTGAAGACCCACAAACTAGTGCGTGCGGGCGATTAAAAAAAAATTCTGGCCAAAAATAAAAATGGCTAATGTCAAATGTCAAAGGTGCAGTACCAGAAAGGAAGTACAGGGGGCTCTTTTGCCATCAGAGTCCAACTCCCATTTTTCTACTACTAGTACTAGGTAGTATGATTTTCACCGCAAGTTTTGTTTACAGTGTTGAAAAGGTAATATTGTTCTCAGAAACATATAAAAATTGTCTTTGATATTGATGGTGGCAAAGGTTTGGATAATCTTTTCTTCTTATTTTTTTAAATACAGCTCTGAAAATGAAGTTCAATGTGAACAAGTAATCACTGAGACTCCAAACCTAAGTAGATATAGCATAATATTGACACTAATTACAGACAAGTTCAGACATCATATTAACGGCAATGTTACCAGTAAAGCTACATTGTATATGAATTAAGTATGGTTTATATCTAAATTATAATACACAATACAGCCTTAACCCCCCCCTCCTGAAAGTGGTGTGGTATAGCCCATTAGTCCCATGCTTACAGTGGACAACAACTGTAGATAGACTGTACCACACCACATGCAGAACAGGGGTGTCAAATTATACCAACGTTACTAGATTTAAGTAGAGATAGTAGGTTTGATAAGTATATCGTACAAAGAGAACTTCATGTTAGCAAATAGTCTTATATCACCACATTTTTCTTGTCAATGTCTGTATGCAATTAGCCCTCGGGCATGAATTTGCAGTAAACAACTCTAATTATTTTATTTCAATGCCTGAAAATACAGGTATAGAAAAAAAACAAACTACATCATCTGGAACACAATCGAACCGAAAATAAAGAAATCTGTCAAACCCAGTTATAGATGGGACCACACAAACACGACCAAAAACAATTAAGAAGAAGGATATATCCTTACTGGGCGGTATACAAAAACGGTAAATGTGCTTTATTTGAGAAATTATAAAATAGTCTATAAAATATGACAAAAAACCTGACAAAGAACCTAGAATGTAATATTTACTATTGAAAGGTCTGAAAAGTGTTGTTGTCATCATTCTACCTTGTCTTTGGAAGAGGACCTGGTAGCCATATCAAAAAGATTAAATGAACTGTAGTTTCTTTCAGTATGAATTGACGTGTCTAGCATCTTTAAAAAATTCATGAAGTTGTTGTGACGGGACAGTGACAGTCATAACAGTCTGTGTTTTGTCCAGTATATTGATGCAGGGCTCGAAATGTGTATACACACTTATGAGCACCAAAAATTGGAACTGTGCATGCCCGTAGCCAGGATTTTGAATGGGGGGGTTCTTCCCATTGCTTGAGGGGACCTCGAGCGCCGAAGGCGCAAGGGGGGTCCCGGGGCATGCTCCCCCGGAAAATTTTGAAAAACGAACCTTCTAAAATGGCATTTGGTGCATTTTCGAGAGGATTTCCAAGAAAAATAAGAGATAAATTTTTATTAAATGACAAAGGGAGCAGTTTTTCTACGATTCCAGTCCATCTTTTCAAGAAAAATCTTGGACCTTTACATAAAAAGTGGACCAAAAAGTGGACCTTTACATAAAAAGTGGACCTTTACATAAAAAGTGGACCAAAAAGTGGACCTTTGAGCCTTGTGGGGGGGGTTCTTCCGAATGCTGTGCACCTAGTTTTTGACGGTAGGTGCATGGAGGTAAAACATAAGGTAGTATACAGCATATTCTTAACATTTAAGAGGCAGAAAAGAGTTTTAAAAACCTTTGTTGTATTACTTAAAATTTTGATGTTTTCTATAGAATTTCACATTCAAGCTGTAAGAAGATGCAGTAAGATTTTGCTGACATTCTACTTTAGTTCATGCTGTGCACCCAAAAATTTGTTGGGCACCTAGATTTTTAGGTTGGGAGCACCAGTGTGCCCATTTCCACAAATGAATTTCAAGCCCTGAGATGTGCAAAAAAACATTAGTTAGGCATCCAGGTGTCTGTGTCATGTAAACATGTACTGGAAATATATGTGTGCTGTCTCCAATATCACAAACTTGATACAAGAGAACAGTTTTCATCTTTTAACTTAACGGAATCATTCAAGACTTTGCAGGGCTCAAAACACTCTTAGTCTGCAAAACATTTTTTCTACCAACACCAGTGCAGGTAACATTTGAAACAAGAAATTTTTGGGAATTAGTGCCCAGTTTACTTGGTTAGGTGGGTGGGTGTTAGGGTAGTAACGTTACATTGCAGCTCTTTCAGAAGCCCTTCCACCATGCCATGCCTTACTGTTTGTGATCTTTGATAAAGAAAGTATTTAAGATTGGCACATTCATACTGTGGTGTGCAAGAGTAGAGCAGTGCATCAAGTCAATAACATCATATAAAAATTTTGTATCAGCTCTAAGAAAGTATACAATAAATTATGATTGTGTTCAGATTCGCTTGGCTTCAGATTGTTCAATACTCGGGCATTTTTGCTGGCTTCTGTGCCCATATAAAGTGTTATTCATGTTTATTGGACTCTTGAAGTCTTGCTTGAAGATGGGAAATCCCAGAGTTTCTAGGTGAGGAAGCAAGATAGTTTTTAATTGTAACAATTTTGTACAATTCATAAAGTTACCATTCTGGGATCTGGATGTTTTAAGATATACGTTCTATGGAACAGTTTCATGCGTAGTTTTGAGTAAAATCGGCTCAACGATTGACAAGAAAATAGTAGCGGTGCACGTGTAATGCACTTGGGTGGGAGGGGGGCACTTCGACATTTTCGATCGTAAAAACGCTTTATACAAGATAAATAATTCAAAACAATATAGTTGACCAGTTTGTTGATAGAACTTGTTGGAAATATTACATCCAGGAAGGGGGAGGGGGGGCGGTGCAGAAGATGTGAAGTCAAGTCAAAGTTTATTGCAAAACGATTGTAGCATAATCAACTACAATAATGAAAGTCTCAGTGTATTTTACTTGGTGATTATGCACTTTCCGATTTGCTGCAAGGACAGGCCATCCTACTTCAAATTTCGAGCGCCAAGAGAGAAACTGTCGTAAAATCACACTGTCGCATTACGTATATCCGCTTCTTACATCATATCCCTGACCTGCACTAGGCATTATCATGGGAAGTGCACGTCAGCTGCACA